CAGCAGAATAAAAGAAATAACAAAGCTCACAGTAGTGCTAAGTTAGAAATTAAACCAAAAGAGATCAGAGAAACAAAAAGCTGGTTCTTTGAAAAGATAAACAAAATTGATAGACCATTAGCTAGATTACCCAGAAATAGAAAAGTGAGGATTCAAATAAGCACAATCAGGAATGACAAGAGAGACATCACAACTGATACTACAGAAATACAAAACATCATCTGCGAATATGACAAACATCTCTACACACGCAAACCAGAAAATAGAGGAAACGGATAAATTCCTGGAAACACAACCTGCCGAGTATGACTCAAGAAACGGAAATCCTCCACAGAACAATAATGAACAGCGAGATGAGCAGTAATAAAAACTCTTCCAAACAAAAAAGTCCCTGCACCACACAGACTCACAGCCAAACGCCACCAGACCTACGAAAGACTGATACCAATCCTCCAGTAGCTACTCCATAACCTGGGGGAGGGAGTCCTTTCTAACTCTATGAAACCAGCGTCATCTTTATACTAGAGCCATGAAAGGACACAGCAAAAACAGAAAATACAGGCCAATATTCCCGTATCTATAAACATAGATATAAAATACTAGCAAATCAAATTTAACAACACATCATTAAAATAATCTCCCATGACATAGTGGGTTTCATCACAGGGATGCAAGGATGGCTTAGTGTATGCAAATCAATAAACATGACTCACCACATAAAGAGAAGCAAAAACAAAGACTATATGATCATCTCAACAGATGTAGTAAAAGCCTTCGACAAGATCCAGCACCCTTTCATGATAGAACCCCCCAGCAAACTCGATGTAAAAGAAACATACCTCAATGTTATACAAGCCATATGCAACAGACTTATAGCTAAAATCATAGTGAGTGGGGAAAAGTTGAAAGCATTACCCCTACCTACTAGAACAAGGTAAGAACGCCCACTGTCACCACTTCTATTCAGGATAGTACTGGAAGTCCTAGCCAGAGCAATCAGACAAGACAAAGAAATAAAATGTATCCAAATAGCGAAAGAGGCTGTCATCAAAGGCTCAAAAAACAGTAGATGCTGGTGTGGATGCAGAGAGATAGGAACACTTTAGACATAGTTGGCGAGGCTGCAAATTAGTACAGCCTCTGTGAAAAACACAGAAATTCCTCAAAGAAATAAGTTCTGTCCAGCAATCCCACTACTGGATGTCTACCCAAAGGAAAGGAAGTCATTTTATCAAAAAGATACATGCAGTTGAATATTTATCACAGCACAATTCACAATTGCAAAGATGTGGAACCATCTTAAGTGCCCATCAATTCATGAGTGGAGTAAGAAAATTTGTTATACACACACACACACAGAGAGACCATGGAAAACTACTCAAACACAGGCAGGAACCAGATGACAGCTTTTGAAGCAACCTGGATGGAACTGGAGACCTTTATCCTAATGCAAATCAATAAACATGATTCACTACATAAGTAGCAAAGTATCTCAGGAATGGATAAACAGATGCCACATTCTAATAAGTGGGAGTGAAGCGATGGGCACACACGGGCACAAGGAGATACAAAGCTCACTGGAAAGCAACAAATGGTGGAGGCCGGGAGGGGATGAGGGGTAAAATCTGACCTATAGGATACGATGAACACTATTCTGGTGATGGGCACATTAAAAGTCTGGACTTAGCACTATACGTGTAGTAAAATATTTATACCCTTTCAATATTTTGAAATTAAAAGATAGTAAAATAATCAGAGGTAATGAATCTTGAGTATTAAGTTCAATACAATTTATTACACTGTAAGTTTATATAATTTTTAATAATGTCTGTGTTTAACAAGCAGTCTGCAAAGTTCCTAAGGATTTAATAATCAACCCTCCTGAGCCAGAACAAGCTCCTAAAGGGCCCCCAGGGCAGCAGGTGGGAGGGCAGTAACAGCACTAATCTTGAATCCCAAAAGGCTTCCGACATCAGAGGCACTCAGTTCAGACTGGGGGGCCCCTTGAAGGTCAGCTCACAGGTCTTAATTCTGCCCTTCCACGTTAAGATGGAGGTCCAGGGACTCTTCTCCACAGAACACAAAACTCTGATGCCCGAGGCAGCTCGGCCTGGGGGAGGGGATCAGGCTGGACTTGGGCCTATTCTGAGATGCCAGAGGGTCCCGGCAGGCTGGGAATGCAATCTTCAGCCTGTGGCTTTGCTCTGTTGTTTCTGTTTGTTTACACACTCTGGAAGTGTGCAACGGGGCAAGAGAGAGAAAGATTGTGGGGAAAGAGGTCACCAAGCTTCTCCACAAGCACTAACTCAAGTGATCTGGGGTGAAGCTACTACCTTGAAACCAAGGAATTAAAAGCTTTCCAAAAACAGAGGCCTGGTTAAACTGGGTGGATACAGTTTGGTCAGTAAAGGTCCTTTTGGGGGTCTGTAGGAATCATTTTACTTCTCAGTAGTTTTTGTCTAGTTGTATGAAGATGTGATCTTCCCAAATGGTGCTCCTGGGTCCAATACTCCCCATCCCTTCCTTAATCATGAACCTGAAGCTAATGGCCAAACGAGAAGGTGTAAAAGCAAGGCCTTGAAGGACAATGCAAAAACCCAAATTATGAAAAAATAGAATGTTTAAAAATAAAGTAAAATCCTTTCAATGTAGTACCTCAGAATATAATTTTTAGGGCCAGTTCTCACCTTCAGAAACCAATGCCCCTTTGCCTCTAAATTCATTCCTTTCTTCACCAGATGTGTTTTACCATCATGTAGATAAGTGGTTCACCCCCTAAGCTGCCCATTGGAATCATCTGGGAAGGTTTCAAAACACCCAGATTGTGTCCCACTCCGTGAGATTTATTTAATTGGCCTGCATTCACTCCAAGCATCCACACTTTTAAAAAATGACATAAAATTCAGTTACCATAAAAATAATCCTTAAAAAGTGCACAACTCAGTGGTCTTATTTAATACTATATTCACAAGGTTGGGCACCCCTCATCACTATCTAGTTCATTTTTGTCTCCCCCCAAAGAAACCCTGTCCCCATTTCCGGTCACTCGCCTTTCCCTTCTCCCTCCAGACACCGGTCTGTGGCTCTGTCTCCACAATGTTCTTCTCTAGGCTTCACGTGAAGGTGATGGTGGGACGTGGCCTTGCCATCTGGTTTCTCTCCCTCAGCATACACTTCAAGGTTCAGATCCGCTGCAGCGCGTACCACTGTGCTTCACTTTCTTTTATTCCTAATGATTTCCGTTGCATGGGGACACCACATCAGCTAGTAATGAACATTTGGGCTGTTTCCACTTTTCAGATATTATTATTGATAACGATGCTGCTGTGAAACGTGTGCACAAGTCTTTGTGTGGATGTGTTTTCAATTCTAGGCACAGAATTCGGGTCAAATGGTAATTCAATGTTTAACTTGTGCGGGAAATGCCAGGCTGTCTTCCTAAACGGCCACACACTTCACACTCCCACCTCCTTGCCGGCACCTACGATTGCCCCTTTTTATTACAGTCACCCTCACAGAGGGACAGTGGTCTCTCCACGTGGGTTTGATCGGCATCTCCTTAAGGTTAAGCATCTTTTCATGTGCGTATTGGTTGGGAAATACCTATTTGAACCCTTTGCCACATTTTATTGCATTATTTGACTCTTGTTTTAAGAGTTCTTTATATTTTCTGGATCCAACTTCCTTAGCACAGTATGGACAGCCTAAAAGTCTTCCAGATGATTCTCACCTGCACCAGGTTTTAGAACCTGTGATACAGAACAAAGCCTTGGAGAAATCTGGATTCCAAGTTTCAATAAAGTCAAGACCCATGAAACAGCCCTTGCAGTTACAGCACATGAGAAAGGAGCATGTGGAGAAAGATGGACCAGAGCAGCGGTTCTCAACTTCCTAATGCCACAAGGTGTTTTCATCATTACAAAGGGGTCGCGACCCTCAGGTTGAGAACCGCTGGACTAGAGGGTGTGGGTTCTGTCTTTCAGGACTAATGGGCCAGGCCTGATTGTTTTAGAAAAGCCAGACATTCAACTTGTCATAGACACTTTCTGAATTTTTATGTTAGTCATTAATTCAACACCATTCAACACCATGTAGACCCTGAATCAAGCCATGAGGAAACACGGAACAAATCTAGACTGAGAGATATGCTGGAAGGAACTGACCCAGACTCGTCAAAGACCTCGCGCGGTCATCCCACAGACAGCGGTGGACCAGGGTGCTGCTCCGGATTAAGAGAGACCGCAGAGCCAGGTGCTGGGATGTGGAATGAACCACCTGGATTTACTCATGGGATATTCAGTCAATCTATCTGTAGATTAGCTGGTAGGATTGTAGGAACCATAATTGCCTGATTTGGGTCAGAATACAATAGTCATGTAAGAGAACAGCCTTGCTTCTGAGAAATATACACTGAAGTATTTAGAAGTAAAGGGACATTATGTTCACAACTTACTCTCAAATGGTTTAGAACAAACTGTGTGTGTGTGTGTGTCTATATCTGTGTAGACACATTAGAGAAAGCAAGCAAGGGAATGATAAAGCAAATGTTAACATCTGGGTCCTTATAAATTTTCTGTAAGTGTGAAATTATGTCCAAACAAAAAGTTAAGAAACATTAAGCTCTTTCCAACTCAAAAACTCTACCTGCCAGCAGAACGCTCGATTGTGATCTCTGATGTCTAGATCCTGAGACACCTAGAAACCGCCCTGCACACCCAGGGATGACCTTCTCCTTCCCGCAGCTCTGATCCTACTTCTAGGAACCTACAGCAGCCTGTGTGTCTGAGGGGACCTTATGAAAGAAAGCCGCAGGCCGGTAACCCTGGGGAGAGGGAATTGCCAAGGCTCAGAAGCTGGCCTGGGGCCCCTGCAAGGGGGGGACAGGAAGGCCTGGGACGAGGACAGGGGGGCAGGGGGAGCTGCTCCAGGCGTGTGCCACAGGCCAAGAGGACAGCACTCATTTCTCTACTCAGTGTACCCCAGGAGGGTCCGTCACCAACCTCACACACGACAGCGTGATTCTCTTCATCTTGGGCTTCTATTAGCTCAGCCAGGAAGTATTCGCCGTACGTTTCCTTCAGAATGGTGTTGTAGTGCATAAATACTGGCATGAGTTCGTCATGATCTTCCACCCTGGACAACAAAGGCTTAAGTTCAGTGTCCATTCAATCACCCGTTCCTTCCACAGAGCAACTCCCGTATGCCAGACCCTTTTGGAAGTGCCAGGGATACAGCAGTACTCTCATAAATGAACTTACATTCTAGTAGGAGAAACATGATAAAAGTAACAAATTTAAATAATGTTCAAACATTTCAAATAGTGATATGTGCTTTGGGATGGAAAACAAGAGGATCCAGTGGTCAGGGAGGACCTCTGTAAGGAGGGACACCTGACAGAGGGGAAGGGGAGGAAGGTATTTTGAAACCTGAAGGTAGAACATTCCAGGCAGCAGGAAAACAATCAGCATGTTTGGGTGTGGAATGTACAGCAGCATTTGTCATGGGCCAAAGGACAAGAAGCTGGGTACAGCATTTCCCAGGGGTGTTCCAACAATCACCACTCCTGTTATATAGTCCCCAGCTCCCAGCACTGCATCCCCTACCAGAGAATTCCAGGGCCTACAAATCACAACCTTCTATAGGTCTCCTCCTGGAGGGTCACAGCTACAGATGAAGAACTCTGAGAAGCACTACAATAAATAATACCTTCTTCAGGAATTGCCCAAAACTCTTTATTCCTAAGACATCACTACACTTCCCATGGGAAAAATGCTGGTGTAAGGTGGCTCTGCTCACTGTCCTGGGGACATGCTGCTTAACTGCCATTATCAGGACATTTACAGTGCCCCAGACAACCAGTGGAGCATTCGGGAGCGCGACTCAGTGATGTGGCTCGTGGATTCCATCTTGCTAGCATGTTTGACGTTCCCGCCTTCTTTTCAGTACATTCTTGGGTAAATTTAGGTTCTATTTTACTTGCCTGGGATGTTCTTTTTTTTTTTTTTTTGGCCTGGGATGTTCTTATACTTTTCCTGTTCCAGTTGTATTCCTTTTATCTTCTACTACATCTGACTTGGCTACTAACCTTTATTCCCACTCACCCCCCCACACACACACCCCATTTTATCTTCTGGGGTGCTCTCCTTGGCATTGACACCTGCTCCCTCTACTGAGTGATCAGTGTGCACGTCAGGCTGTATCCAGATGATCTCTGGGGCTCAACTTCTCACAGCGGTCCCGGGAGGGAGGCTTTGCCACCTTCACTTCACAGAGGGAGGAGAGCAAGGCTCCTGGGGAGGAGGATCTGCCTGAGGTGACAGAGAGCTGGCTGCAGAGCCATACTGTGTGCTTCCTCTGCTCCAGCACTGGGCTGAGCTGACAGTGTACTTCTTGACATTTCTTTTAAAAATTCACAAGAGGAAGTGAAACAGTTGAGGGGGAGTCCTTGGTTCGGGGGCCAGAGGCCATGGTCCAGCCAACCCATCACCACTCTTTCAGCCCCTGCAGGAACAATCCCCTGATCCTGCCACAGCTCTACTCCCTTCACCAAGAGCTTCAAACTGGAGGACTCCTCGCCCTCTGGATGAAAATCTCCACCAGCTCCCAGGATGAAAGTGTTACCTCTGGTGATACAGGTATAACTTCTGGAATTATGTTGGTTTTTCATAAAAAACAGAAAGTATCTTGATGAAGAAATATTAACACATATATTTGAAAAACCAGACCTCTGCTCTGTGAAACCTCAGAGCTAAGGAGAGCGTTAGCCAACAGATCATGGTACAAGACAGAAAAGCACAGAGGGTAACAGCTGGGGGACCTCCCCTATGACTCTCCAGGTTAGATCTTATTTTTAATCTCTTGTCAACCCTCTCTGGAGCAGAGATAGCAGGGGGTCCTTACCAGGAAACCACATTTTTTTTCACTGTCAACCCAGCTCTGATGTTATCACCAACAGTCTTACTCTGTCTTGCCAGGACGTCAGGGGAAGCACTAGTGCTGAGACCACGACCGGGCGGGCACAGACACCAACGCTTTTAGAACAAGCATGGCTGCAGTCCTGATGCTGCTGTCACTTTTCAAGCTATTTCAGCTCTCACTAAGTTTTAAAAAGGAGTCTTGACCACTTGTCCAGCTATTTTTTTGGTTATGTGACCACTGTAAACATTATCAGTGGTCACCTATGGACAAGCTGCACCAAGACTCCACCAGAAGTGTGTCCAAGTCTTATGATGCTCTTTAGAAAAGATTAGAGAGAAAGAGATCCAGCCAGGCCGTCACAGCCTGAGGTGGGAGCCAGACTTTCTGGGTCTGGATCCTGCTTCTGCCTCATCCTAGCAATGACCTTTGTACTTTACCTCGCAATGTCCCAGTTTTCTCAACTTTCATAAAAATGGTAAATGGTCAGATAAGAACATATGTGAAGTGTTATAGCTGCTTTCATCATCATTACTTAGTTAGAAAACAACAGAGAGGACAACTGGAGAACGTCCACAATTGGGAGGCAGAATGAGAGGGTTTCTACTACAGAAGCTGGAATCACCGCACTTGCTTCTCACGGGCTACCGCAGGTATAATCTCTATGTTCCATCCACTGTTACTAATCTTAGAACACTGCTTGGTTTTTGTTGTTGTTGTTGTTCTGTTTTGTTTGTTTTTCTTAATGCCAATAAGCAAGCACACACCAAAAAAAAAATCTTTTTTTTTGAGACAGGCTCTTGCTATGTTGCCTAGGCTGGAATGCAGTGGCTAATCACAAGCACAATCGTAGCCCACTGCAGCCTTGAACCCCTGGCCTCAAGTGATCCTCCTGCCTCAGTGCCCCAAGTAGCTTAGACTCCAGCTATGCCATTATGTCTAAAACTTGTTTTCTCTGCTTTCTCAAAAACTCCTGCAACCTCCTTGCTGTTTCTGGGATGGGCACAAGGTCCTTCACATCCATCTTCCTACCCTTATCACCAACAGTGACAAGAGTTGATCCACTCACTGTCCTACCAGGGGACCTTGCCACCTTCCCTCCTGTCCACCTCCGTTCTTCTCCAGCACTCTGAGCCCTGTGCCTGCCCCACACGCCGGGGCTCAGCTCTACACCCTCCAGGGACTCTTTCCTTTCCTTCTCCCTTCCCAGGAATCCAATGCCAGGGTTACCACAGAATCCACATTGTCCAGTTCTGGTGTTAATTTCTTACAACAAGGTATGGTATCTTCTCAACCAGGCAATATGCTCTTTGGGGACACAGAGGGAGTGGTGCACCTGTTCTGTAGAGAGCAATCCCGCACAATCGCTAAGCTTGGGGGGTGTCTAAGTAGTCTGAAGCCGTAGTCCCGTGTGGTGGCTCTGTAACCCCTCTACTTAGCCTTCTGACTCTACAGATGGGAAACCCAGCAAAGTCACTTCAACACTAAGCCTTGGTTTTCTCTTCTTCAAAACGAGTGAGGACAAGACTAGCTATGAGGATGCAATGTGGTGACAAAACAGTCCTCTCAAGCCTCAAGCCTCCCTGGTGCACAGTGAGCCCTCAGCAAGCGTTTGCTCTCCACACAAGCTCTCAGAACCTGGCTGAACCTAGAATATCCTGCCTTGCAGGAACAACTCATTTGCCCACATAACTTCTCTGTAAGAATCCTTGATGATGGCTCGGCGCCTATAGCTCAACCGGCTAAGGCGCCAGCCACGTACACCTAAGGTGGCGGGTTCGAATCCCCAGCCCGGGCCCGCCAAA